AATATTATAAAAAACATATATTGAAATATATCATGCTTACAGCTACGTTACTCTCTGAATATCATTCTACACAATCATAGTTGTTTTTTGGTTTTTTTAAATTTTTTTGCCTTGCAGCCCCTTGGGGGGTGCTGCAGACCCCTCAACACCCATACTTCCAGCGTCGTTGAAAGCAGCTGATTAGACTTCCAGGCAACCAAGTCTCTTTGCTGTTTCGTGCCAGAGCATGTGGTGGTTAAAGAGTAAAATGTCATGGGTGAGAGGCAAACAAGTCGAATAGGATCACAAATTGACTTCCAGGTAAAAAATGTGGGGGCGAGACGGAACTTGTGCAACAAAGTGGCCTGAAGCTGTTTGAACTGATCCCACAGAACAGGGGCAATGTCAACTGTGACCTGATAATATACATTTGGATATAAATCATACTCAAAGTGAAGGCAATGCTGCCTCCATTGGAAGTAGGGGGGTCTGAGAACCAAGAATTAAATAGATAAACTTCAGTATAAAGTAAAAACACTTGATCAAACCAGTGTTAAAGCACAGTCTTCAAGAAAAGAATGCACGAGTAAACAGTAGACAGATATTATATTAAATGTAAATTTAGCATGTCCGAAGCTCCTTGATGGGGTCATCCTACAGATGATAAACTCTAAAATCATGGCCATAGCCAGCTATGAGGCTACCAAGGTCCGGACCTCAGTAATTATTTACCAAACAAGACGTCAAAGCCTATATGACTGGACTGTGTATGAAACGCTAGAGGGCTTTTAATTTGAAATGATGGCTTTTAATTTGACACGGATACAGGAAGTCGCGGAACCTTCTCTCTGCATATGATTGACGTGAAACGAAACAGCTTGACACTGACAACGATCCTACTGCGTGAGGTGAGTAGAAGGTAAAAGGTTAAGTGAAAGATATTAGTTAATTTCAAATATTTTTATTGTGAAGCAGACAGTATATCAAAAATGCATCCATCTCTGGTTTATGCAATGCTTCATTATTTTGTAATATAAGTAACAAAGGTGTCCTACAAATAAGTAAATAAATGAAAAACACTAAA